CTGTTAAGAGTGACGTCTGTGGGGTCTTGTCAAGCAAAATGTCCCTGGGCCTAATGCATGGTGGTGGGTGAGCATCCCCCTAGTATGACGTGTTTTTATCATCAATGTTCAGTGATCCCTTGGGTTCTTCTGTACCTAATCTGTTTCCTTGAAGAAGACAATATCTTGAAATGCCTCGAAATATGAGAATATTATACCCAAGCTGTTGCTATGATCAACTGTCATTTTAATATTTGGTTTTGTCATTTTTAACAGAAGTGTTATATTATGTGACAATAAAAAGTGTATTTTTTTTATAGATTAATAGTCTGGATGCCTTTAAAATCCTAATCCACAGATTCATTCCCTATACATTGATTCGATATGATGATGTCAAACACTCAATGTTTGTTGTACTGTATATCCCAAATGGGCCATATATAATATTCAGTAGGTGTAGTGCTACAGAGGTTTGTCAAAAACTGCTAACACAGTGCTGGATATGGTCAGAAATTGGTAATCTGCTACAAGTGTAATTGAAGACTGTATATACAGTATGATGCAGGAGACTGGGAATATGTTAAATGAGACTGCTAGAGATCACCGTCATTACCATATCTTTACAAATGAATGCCCTTACTACTGGTTGCTGGGGCACAAGGACTGCACTATACACTCACCGGCCACACTATTAGTTACACCTTGCTAGTGCCAAGAAAATATCCCCCACACCATTATACCACCACCACCACAAGCCTGATCCGATAAAGCAAGGCAGGATGAATCCATGCTTTCATGTTGTTTACCCCAAATTCTGACCCTACCATCTAATTGTAACAGCTGAAATTGATTGCCTATTCTCCTCTGACCTCAACAAGGCATTTGCATCCACACAACTGCTGTTCACTGGATATTTTCTCTTTTTTGGACCATTCTCTGTAAACCCTAGAGATGGTTGTGTGTGAAAATCCCAGTAGATCAGCAGTTTTTGAAATACTCAGACCAGCCCATTAAGCACTAACAACCATGACACGTTCAAAGTCACTTAAATCCCCTTTCTTCTCCATTCTGATGTTCGGTTTGAACTTCAGCAAGTTGTCTTCACCACGTCTAGATGCCTAAATGCATTGAGTTGCGACCATGTGATTGGCTGATTAGCAATTTGTGTTACCAAGAAATTGAACAGGTGTATCTAATAAAGTGGCCAGTGAGTGTAAATGCCAAAGGACTATTGGTTTTAGGGTTCTAATGTCTATGGACAATTTAGATAAAAACACAAAGAGCAATGGGAAAACTAGCGTAATCCCAAGCAACCTATCAGAACAAAAACATTTTCTTTAGGGATGCAGCCATGTCCAGAGACATTGTAAGAAGCGTGTACTGTACTTGTACATTTAACTTTAGTGTCACTGTGGAAAATGTGACTCTCTAGTTGTAGGTACAAAATAAAACACCCTTTTATATTTCAGGGATGATCTTTTTTTGCATAGTATTTATGAAATACTCACAGACAACAATGCAGTCCTATTTTAAGCATTGATCTTTGGCATGCCTCCAGAAAATAATTTGTTTAGACTCTAACCACATCACATTAGGCTGCACAAATGGCTATTTCCATAGCAATCCTCTTGTCTACAGAGAACACAGACACCACACATACACATTTTCATTTGAAACAGGTAGTCAGCCAGTGTTTACTCAGTGAAGGTCAGCTTTGGGTATTATGAAACTTCGAGCAGATGTGATAAGCAGTAAATTGCCGATCTATCACTTTTTCCAGTGAGCATGTGTGTGAAATCAGCAGAATGCTGCCTACGTTTGATTTATAGCCCACTTTTGACCAACTCTTATCAGGTTCCCACAAGCCTTTTTTCTGATGCAGCTCATGTCTGAATGACAATAGACAACCAGTGCCATTATGCTCCAAAATCTCCTTGCATTCTAGACACCGAAGATTACATCTGGGCTATTGATTTATGAGTGCCATTTTTTTCCACAGGGACCAGTTTGTTCAGGCTGAAGAAGATAGAGTATTATTAAATTGTGATGCAAACAATTCCATACGAGCTTGGTATAGAAATTATAATAATTTGCCTGGCAGATTCTTTCAACTAGCTTCCTCAATACTATGTGCACCTGTATGTTCTAGATATACTAATATAAGCAATATGGATGCTTGAATGTTTCCTTAGCAAAGAATTAGTCCATGTGCACATAATAGTTCAAATCAGGTCTCAATCTAAAACGATTAGTCAGGTGTAATAGGAAATATTTGTGTCAACATTATAAAATTTAAATTTGGTACACGAACTAAGAAAGTATATGAAACCTAACTCCAAACATTAGAGTATGGAGGTACATTTCTGTAAGTTGTATATTTCTGTCTGAAAACTCATTTTAAAAAATTCTCTAATTTCTAATCCCTATGACACCTGTTCACGAAATACGAGTGTGTAGGACAACTACACTACTGCACTACTACACCTACACACATTAGAGTCTCAGCTGGAGAGCTAGATTTGGATTGGATTGAAGCAGTTTCCTCTTGGCTACTCATGGGTTTGCAGATGGGCCAAATAAGTGAAGCCCAGCTGCTGACCCTTTACGCCTTGCATAAGAACATCTACCCTTGGCCACAGATCATTGCTTCCTTCCTGTAAGCACTGACAAAGCTGCAGGGAGAGAATGGTTGACCAGGGGGTTTTAGTCCTGCCATCCCAGACTGAGGTAATGCCCTGTTCTGTGGGCTGTGTTTCAGAGGTGCTACTGAGCAAGGACCCAAAGACGCAGGAAGCAGAGCTGCAGAGAAAGAGAGACTCCAGAGTAGAGCAAAAGGCTGGCTGCAGGGAGCAACTGTGGCAGAGCAATATGGTGCAGAACCAAAAAGGAAAGTGACCAAAGCTGTGAGTGGTGTCCAGAGATTTCAAAAGTAAGACTGCTGACTCCATATGGAAAGGACTGAGCTGTGCTGATGCTGGATTAAAGCTGATAGTGCTCTGCTGTGTCTTATGGATGCAAAGAGTGGGGGCTCGGGAGCGAGCAAGCAAAAGTGCCCCCATAGCAAGTGGCTTGCTATGGGGGCACTGCTCAAGGGGAAGGAGCCAGAATCGCTGGTGGGGGAGACACAAAAAGAGGAGGATCGATGCTGCTCTGCACAAAAAAAACCCACAAAAAACCAAGCCTTTAGTATCACTTTAACTGCTCATTGTTACCAACACGAAAAATAATTAGCTGAGTCTTGAAGGGGAAGTAAGATTCATTATATTGGCATTAGGAGATATTTCTATTTTTAAGGTAACCATGTGTCAAATTAAAGTAGCTCAGAGAACAATGACAATATGCAAAGTGTAAAAATCAATCAGATTTCAGTTAACTGAAGTAAAAAATGATGTATTTTCATGTATTGGAGACTTGCATTGTCAATATCATCTGAAAGAATTGTATTTTCCTTTGGAATCCAATATGGCCTTTTTTACCTTAAAGAATTGAAGAAACTGAAATAGAAAATGAACCTGTCATTAATTTTAAAAGTGGACAAACAAATACGCTGCAAAAGAAAAATATAAATACTTTTTCTACTACTTACAACGCCGATTACCATGCCATTCAGGAGGAAAGGTCCCCTGATGTCAGCTGGGAAACAGACATTTCTAGAAATATCAATAACCTACAGTGATCATTGGTTCCTCCTGCCGACTTCCACATCACTATAGGATACAGTAATAAGCAGTTTACAAGAACCAATAACTGACTTTTTCTCTTCTTTATTTCAGATGTTCAACAAGCAGGCACACTACTGTTAGCAGGGAAGAAAAAACGAAGATTCTATTTCATTAAGAAACTGATTTTCCTGGTTTAGACCTGTATAGCTATAACATGCTAAGGACAAAAGGCTCATGGGGGCCATATCAGTATTAAAGCCCAGCCCTGGGGATGGATAATTGTGCTAAAATCCTCCATTTATATTCATAGGACCACTTTCCTGTTATAGGTCTAAATAACACTGCGCAATCCAATAGACACTAGTGTGTGACCACACTGCCCTCAGAACTCCATAATATAACATACCTGGGCTCTCTCCTCCTATGTAGGCTCAGAGCATCGGAAAGAGAGAGCACAAGAAGCACATTTCCACATACAGAATGTATGTATTTAAGGAATTTTCATGGACACCAGTAAATAGCACATGGCAACTATAATAAGAAACAAAGGCATGAAACTTTAATTAAGCTTTAAAGCGGTAGTAAAGTTTCAGAAAGAAAAAAAAAAGTTTCGCCCTGCAAGAGAATGGCATAGGGGTTTATCTACTAAAGCTGGAGAGTGCGAAATCAGGCTCACTTCTGCACAGAAACCAATCAGCTTCTAACCTCAGCTTGTTCAATTAGGCTTTGGCAATAAAACTTGGAAGCTGATTGGTTTCTATGCAGAAGTGAGCCTGATTTCGCACTCTCCAGCTTTAGTAAATAAACTCAATAGTGTGCTAGTATGCATAGCATACTAGCACATTATGAAAGACTTACCGTAAAACAAAGCTCTCCAGTGGCACATTGTCACTGATGACAGGATTTCCATCTTCACCAGGTCTTCCCTCCGAGTTAGCGGACTCTGGCCGTCTGAGTGGCTGAGTCCCGATGACGTCACGCATGCGCGTGGGAGCACTGGGCATGGCACAGAGCTCTGAAGGAATGGCGTGGGTATGCCTTTTCTTTAGAGCGGTGTCAGTGACGTCACTGGCTGCTGTTCATTTGAATATCTCCTAAATGGTGCACATTTAGGAGATATTCATTTTATCTACAGGTAAGCTTTATAACAAGCTTATTTGTAGATACAAATGTCTCACAAGACACTTTACTACCACTTTAAGATTTATTTAACCACCTCCCGCCCGTCATATAGTCCAATGATGGGCGCAAGGTGGTTCTCTCGTTCTGAGAGGACATCATATGACGTCCTCCCATTCTCTCACCGCGCATGCGTGGCTCAGCAAACGCGGCTCAGCGAGCGCGCAGCGCGGCGATTGGCGGTGCGCTGTGTTGGCTCAGTCATGTGATCAGCTGTGTCCAATAACAGCTGATCACATGTAAACACGGAAATGCCGGTTATCGGCATTTCTCTCCTCTCAAGCTGTCGCGCTGACAGCTCGAGAGGAGAGGAGAGCCGGTAATTGGCTTTCCGTGGCGGGGACATGTACACTGATCATCAGGGCACTGATGATCAGTGTGCCCTGATGATCAGTGCAGTCCCAGCAGTGCCACCTGTCAGTGTCCATCAGTGCCAGCTGTCAGTGCCGATCAGTGCCACATGCGAGTGCTTATCAGTGCCCCATCAATGCCACATATCAGTGCATACCAGTGCACATCAATGCCACATATCAGTGCCCATCTGAGCTGCCTTTCAGTATCATCCATCAGTGCCACCTATCAATGCCAATCAGTGCCACCTATCAGTGCTGCCAATCAGTGCCACCTATCAGTGCCAGTCAGTGCCGCTTATCAGTGTGCATCAGTGCCACCTATCAGTGCCAGTCAGTGCTGCCTAACAGTGCCAGTCAGTGCCGCCGCCTAACAGTGCCGCATATCAGTGCCAATCAGTGCCGCCTATCAGTGCCATATATCAGTGCCATGTATCAGTGCTGCCTTTCAGTACCCATCAGTGATGCCTGTCAATGCCCATCAGTGCCTCCTCATCAGTGCCAATCAGTGCCACCTATCAGTGTCCATCAGTGCAGCCTATCACTGCCCATCACTGCAGCCTCATTAGTGCACATCAGTGAAGGAGAGAAATCACTTATTTACAAAATTTTATAACAAAAACTAAGAAAAAACTTTTTATTTCAAAATTTTCTGTGGTTTTTGGCTTGTTTAAGAAAAAATAAAAAACCCCGCTGTGATTAAATACCACCAAAAGAAAGCTCTATCTGTCACAAAAAAATGCAAAAAATTTCATATGGGTACAGTGTTGCATGACCGCGCAATTGTCATTCAAATTGCGACAGCACTGAAAGCTGGAAATTGGCCTGGGCAGGAAGGGGGTATAAGTGCCCAGTAGGCTAGCGGATAAAGAAAGGGATGTTCAGATAATAAACGGGGTTAGTTTTGTGGTCAGTTTACACCAAAATAATTATCCAAGATTATTTTTTATACAAAAAGCTTAAAAATCACACATCTTTCTCATGTACTTAGTTTCAGTTTTTCCTTGAACTCAAAAAAAGGTAAAAAAGCTGAGCTTTAATCATGTTAGAGTTTAAAAAAAAAATATAAGTATTAAACTCACTGCTTTCTTCAGAGGTCTATATCAGTTGTCTTGCAACCCCCAATCAAGTGCTGCATATTTCTGGTGTTAAACCTAATTATGGTGAAGAAAAAGATCTTTATCTAGTAGCGGATCTCCAATGGTATGCTTCTTTTATGGCAACGCTTAAAGAATATACTGTAGCATAACATATTTTTACATTTAAAACAGTCCTGCTTGCGTTCGTATGTTTTCATGAAATCAGCAGTTTATTTTTATTACACAAAATCAAGCATACAGAAGTCTACAATTACTAAGTACTATGGTCAGATGCCTATGGAATACCTGGCATTGTCTCCAGTTATAGCTTACCTTATTCCAAATGAATAACAAGGTGGATTAGTGGGCGGCTTTGAGTTTTGCTGTGTTGGGGTATTATGGGTTAGTCCCTAACAGGGGAACTTTCTGTCTGCAGTTGGAATGTTTTTCCTGTATTTATGTGTATGCATCCAGCCAAATTGCACCAGCATGAGTAAATAAAGAGGGGACAAGTACACTTTTCTGGTCTACATAACCAGAGGGACTGTAAGGGCTTTTTTGTTCCATGGGAAGTGGTACTGACTAGTGACTGATAGATGGTAGGACTTGGGGCTGCATTGCCTGCAGTATTGTGTTTTCAACTGTAGAAGTCAGTAAGTATGGTTTCTCTGTATAAAGCAGTTCTTGTTTACTCCAAAAACTGATGTTGAAATCTATTATCTCTTTGGGGTAGCTACAGCTATATAAACACTTGCAAAATCTGATGTTTCAGAGTTCTTGGGAAGCACTTGCATCTTCTTGGGAAGTAGCTTCTTGGTGAAGATATCCAGTTGGGGTGTCAGGAGTACATCACAGTGGAGCTTTGGGCAATGGATGTTAATGGGTAAGAGAAGAAAGGGATCTGTAGGAGTGAAACCAGCAGGAAACAGCATGGTTTCCCAGAGACATTGGTGTGCTGGCCCTGTACGGGACTATCCAGTGTCTGTTGGCAGCAGGAGGGCTTCTAGTGCCCAGGCAATGTACAGGGGCAAGATATATAATGGAGACACAGCTGCATACCAGTACATTTAGGTCATTGCTGTGCACAGCAGTTACTGTGGAATATGTGCTCCAGTATATCATTGGTCTATAACCATTGTGGTAAATTAAGTATACATTGATATCCTTTTTCTGCTACACTGGCTGCCTAAATTGGCAATTTATTTTGTGTTTGCGAGTGACAGAATTATGTCACTCAGACTTTATTTTAATATGATAGCATTATAATTTACTTAACTACTACAATTATTTACAATGGTTGTCAATAATTAAAGCATATTTTTTAACCTTCTTCTATTAATCTGAACAATCTTGAGGTTTGTAAACCTACTTTGTGAACATCCCACACGTTTACTTCTTTGAATTCTGAAGGTACTGCTGTGTCACACATTTTGCAGAGCCTGCCTTCATAACCACATAGGTGCTAAGAAGAGGAGTTTCAGGAGGTGGAGTCAGTACAGGATCCACTGCTTTCAGGCAGCAAGGTATCATGGGATATGTAGTCCTTAGAAATGGAAAGAAAACAGCAGAAGAGAAGCTGGATTGTCAAAAATAACTATGATTTGTATTATTATTACAATGCTATGTTATAAAAGGAAAGTATGTATAATGTAGACTGGGACCATAGAATTCCTTTACGGAAAAAACTCTATCCAAAACTGTTTTGTTTTGCACTTGAAAGGGTTAAATGCTTTGTGAATTTGCTTTTGCTGTTTACCTGTCCATGACGCTTTTATCAGCTCCTAGAACTGGGACACAGAATGTGTATTAAAGCGACCCCCCACATCTAGGGCAAAATAAAGCATTAGTTTAGCTTACTGTTTTTTTTTGTTTGACGGATGTGTAAGGTGAGGGACATGATGTAATGCACATCATCTCACGCATGCGCCATATGACATTACACTCATCCAGTTAAAACAAAGTCTTCCCCTTCAGGAACTCACAAGATTTCAGGGGGAAAGGTTTTTTGTTTAACCAGATGAATGTACTGTAATGTACGGCATATGCTTTAGATGAGGAACATGAAGTCGTTGGTGATCTGGCAGTCGTTTATATTGTTTGGTTTTGGAATTTTTTATGGTGGTGCAATTTTCCATCCTGTGGAGGAGGGGCATAGCACAGAGACCAGGGAAACTGGGTGAGGAGGAGGCAGGTAATTACTATTATTGTTAGTTTTGCACTTATGTAGTTAGATTGATTATGGAGGTGAGTGGTCTACTTTAAAGACCAAAGTAATATAGAGCACCAAAACACAAAAATGGATGAAAGCGTTCAAGGTAACTTTTTTGCTGGTAAATAGGTCATATAAAAAACTGCCACTTTGTTATGGAGTCAAACTACCCCTTAGGGCTCAACACCATATCAACAAAACCTGAATAGATAGGTCCTATTGCTGCTCAGCAACTTCGGGTATTATACTCACAATCTAGAAAAGTAGAGTTGAATTTTTGTCCTAATCTAGATCTGCGTGGGTTCTGTTGTTTTCTGAATCCATTGAAGTTTTAATCTGTGTTGCACCTTGAAGGAAAGTGATCACACTGACTGTTTTTATATGATCTTTTTACCAGCTCTTTTCTGGTTTGAGCTACTGTTGAGTAGCCTTTGGGGGAAGCCTTTCTGTGTTAGAGGCACCTGGCCAGATTTTGTTATACTTGTATGATGTATTCCTTCAAATGACTGCACCTGCAAAATTGAAAATTCTTAGTTCCTCTTTAAGTTTGTTCTTCTGCAGTCTTGACATAAAAACTTAAAGCGGAGTTCCACTCACCCTGTCAAAAAATAAATGTCAGCAGCCACAAAAACTGTAGCTGCTGACTTTTAAAAAACAGCCACTTACCTGTCCCTCGGTCCTGCAGTGTGTCCCACGCAGCCTGTTTCACTGGCCGTCCTGTATTATAGGAGGCCGGCATCTTCAGTGTGGGCACCCGGCTGTGCAGCTTGCTGCTTCACAGCCGGATACCCACTGCGCATGCGTGAATAGCGCTGCGCTTCATGAATGGTCCTGTAGTCTTCTGGGACCTGTCACGTGTCCCGAAAGACTACAGGGAGGGAGGACACCTTCCACTTCCGATCGCCTAGGCGATCAGACCGGAAGTGGGAGCAGGTACCTGTCAAATTCGGGTACCCTCTCCCCCCCCCGCGCCCCAAATATGCCAATCCTTAATGGGGAGTGGGGGAGCAGTCCTTAAAGCAGGAACCTCCCCTTTTGGGTGGAGCTCCGCTTTAAGATATAGCCTTTTCCCACAATAACCCAAAATAAAACAAATGTCTGGATGACATTCCATTTATCTATGATTTCGGGTGGCTTGCATACCAATTTCTCAATTTCTGGCAATAATTTTTCATATTTTTTTAATCATTCCTGTGCTCCAATCACCCTCAGTAATATACCTACAGTACATTATATGCTAAACTTGAAATCAATCAATTTGCATGGCTCTTGGTGAATCCTTTGTGTCCCCAGCAGTAGGCGTGGTTTCCGCATAGCATACTTTTAGAAAAAAAAACTGCATATGAGAGTTTGAACTTGTATGACATCCTTTTTCCGCATAATTAACAATGTAATTGCAACTATGTACTTTTTCAATAAGTTATACTTGTTGGGGGCATTTGCATCACAATGCTTGTGTTAATGCAATTGCATTGGCATGTGCTGAGATGCGTTTTTGAACTGCATTGTGTTGTGCTAATTTGTTTTTTACATGTGTTGTGTTGCGTTTTTACATGCATTGCATTTTTTTTTTTACTTGAATAAAATTCCTGTTTCCCATTTATGCATAGACTCTCATTGCACTCACATTGCACAAAAAAAAGCACAGCATGCTATTTTTTTGAGCGCAATGAAAGGCACTGCAATGGTGTAAACAACCCTAAGTTAAATTAATTGTTTTTCTTCTGTTTAAGCATTGTGAATGTGTTGGGCAATGAATCCCAATGCATATGGTGTAAACAAGCCTTTAAAATTGAGTTTGCATAATTAAGTGCAAATGTATTATTTTTGTAACTTGTAATCTGTTATTCCTAAATTTCAAACATAGGTAAAGTATACTTTTATTTATCTGCAGTTATCATACCAAAGCGATCGTTGGAGAGCACGCATGAATACGACACAACATTAAGCAAAGTAGCAAAACATGCAGACGGTGCTTAAGATATGCAAATATACTTAATGATTCTACTCTAGAGAAGCAAGATAAATGCAATTATTTTCAAGCATGGTGCATTTTAAATGTTTGTTTTTAATATTTCATGGGGTCTCATTATACAATATGCTGAATACATACA